AGGGGGGCTGTGGAGTCTCCTTCTCTGGAGATATTCCAGCCCCGCCTGGCCGCGGTGCTGTGCAGCCTGCTCTGGGTGACCCTGCTTGGGCAGGGGGTTGGGCTGGGTGACCCACAGAGGTCCCTGCCAACCCCCAACATTCTGGGATTCTGTGAGGGGAGGTTCTGCCCGGGTCTGCAGGCAGTCCCGCGACCCCAGGGCTCTGCCAGCAGCGTTCTCACCCGTTGTGCGTAACCAGGCACTGGCGCAATCCCAGCTTGCGGAATATATCCACGACGATCTCCATGGGCGTTTGGTCTGTCACTGTGAAAGGACTGAGGTCCAGGATGCTCCTGAGTTTCAGCATCGAGGGGGAGCTCGGAGGCAGCGGAGGAGAGTGGTCAGTGAAATAAATAACTGAAGTGCTCACAATCCCATCCTGCTTCTTCCGGGCGTTTTCTGGAAGAAGAAACATTCGATTACATATCATCCCTCCTTTCCTTTCCCAAAGGGAAGAGCATGCCCTTTTCTGTCCCTGCCCACACTGGGATGGCCTCAAAGGTCCGTTCCTTCCCTTCCCCTGCGCTGCTTCTCAAGGCAACCACGACCTAAGGTGGCCGTGCGGTGTTTCCTTTCTACTTCTAGTAACGACAGCGTAACCTCTACGGACTCCACAGTTTCACCCCAGGGGCCAGCTCAGCACACGCTCTGCCCAACGGCGAGGCTGCCAGCCTCTCAGCCTTTTTCTCTGGCCATACAAACACAAGTTCTGGAGATCTTTATCCACCTCCTCTTCAAACCAGGAAGTTAAAATGCCTCGTACTTTTATCAGTCGCTGCTTGGGGCCCACGGAGCTGAAGAAGGGTTTTTAAGCACTTCACCTCCTGGCGCAGGCTCCATGCCTGGGACGAGGGTCAGGAACAGCACACAAGGTAAGCGCTTGCCGAGACGCCCTGGGCAGGGGCCAGCCCGGTAGCCAGACGCCAGGCGGGATATTCAGGGCTGGCCACCCAAAGCTAAATCCCGTCCGTGGCTCACGACGGCGCGTTGCTGCGCAGGGCTTGGGGAGGTTGCTCTGAACGAGCGCCTGGGGAGTCAGAGTCACACGAACGCAAGAATCACAGAATCGTTAAGGTTGGAAGAGACCTCTAAGCTCATCAAGTCCAACCGTCACCCCAACCCCCCCAGGCCTGAACCCGCGGCCACAGCACAAAGCAGCCTCACAGCAGGAAGGCAGCGCGCGTTGTATGACAGCGCGCGTTTTTCTGTACTTCGTCCCGTCGGAAGCGTTTGGCCAGATACGCATCAGAGGAACCAGAGCAACATTCCCAGGCTCCAACAGGCTGCACTGCACATCCCAACACTGCCTCTGAACACGTACCTGAAAAGAGAGAGGGAACACACGGAGCTGGTCCGCAGCTGCGGGCAACTTCATTCTAAAACCCACCCCAGCTCTGCCGTGGGACAACGCCAGCTCAGGACCCGGAGCCTGAGCCACAGCCGGACACAAACCATGGGGACTCAACGTCCACCGGAGCGTGCGGCTCAGTACCCTTACGCCCAATCTTCACTCCAGCGCAGGCGCAATTTCTGAGGACTTACGTGCCCGCGTACACCTCGAGCCTAACACACCGATCTCTGCTGCTCCACCAAGAGAAGACACGCTGTCTCGCCCAAGGCGGCAAGAGACAACACGACCAGGACCTCCACTTGGGTCTCACGCTGGGAAACAGCACTCGCGGGTTTCTAAGAAACCGGAGAGCAAGAGGAACCAAACCGTGCCCTGAAGTGTAACAGGGCAGTACTGTTTCCACAGGAGCTCGGCTCCCATCGCAGATGGAAATCGCATCCGAGTGACGCCAGGACAGCGTTCACCAAGTCCTGCCAGCAGCGCGCACCACCCGCCTCACGACCACCAACGCCCAAGTGAGACAAGTGACAGGCCAGGCTGGCTTCCAACATGAGGAGACAGAAGGCTTCCACACCAGTACCGGTATTTACGGCTCTGGCAGCACCACCTCGGCAGCGACCCAACACCCAGCGCAGGGACCAACCGGCCTTTTTCCCTCGGTGAAATAAAACAAGGTTTGAGACCTCAGCCGTACGGAAGCCTTCCACGTCCAGTCATCCACAGAGTCGGGGAGGCTTAGCTCTCGCTGGCAGGCCGGCTCACGCTCCGCAGCCGAGCCCGAGGGTTTATGCATTCAGCAGAGCCACCCTAACTTCACCGGGCAGGCCCCCCCGCCCCTCGCGCTCCACGCACGCAGACCCCACGCTGCTTGGGGATGGAGACGCAGGCACCAGTAAGCGCAGCCACCGTCACCACCGGGTGCTTCAATCCGTCAAGTACAGGACCGCTGGTGCCACTGAAGGCCTCCAACGCATTCGTTTGTCTGCGCGGTACCTTGCCCCTTACCTATTGAAATGATGAGGTCTCTCCTGAGGACAAATCCGACGAGCCTCTGGGACTCCCGCGACACCACCACCGGATAGCCACTGTAGGTGGTTTCGTTGATGATGGTCTCAACGTCTTCTACGGTCATGCTGTCCTGAGTGATGACAGTCAGCGGAGAATCGTTCCTCCGTGGCCTCATTACGTCCATCGCAAGCGTCTTGTGTGAGAACTCCTCCTTGGCTTCCAGGAAAGGGTACCCGTTGAGGCGAATGTGGGCATCGTAAATGCCTTCCCGCCCAATGGCGTCCGCCACCCACTTGCTGGTCATGGCTGCTGCCATCAGAGGAACAATGTACTCCAGTCCACCGGTCAGCTCAAACATAATGACCACCAGTGACACCGTCATTCGGGTCACCCCACCTGCAAGCAGAAGACAGAGGCCGTGAGCAGGCAGCCTGGGGGCTGGCAGCAGGAGAGCTGCTCCCAGGGTCGCTGCAGCCGCCCCCCGCCGAGCCCTCGGCCCAGCACGCCGCCATGCTGCCAGGCTCCCACACCACGCTCACGTTTGCCGGCTCTCAGCCGGACACTTTGACTGCTGTCTGCTACGCTTGTGGAGGTTTTCAACACTGAAACAGCTGAGACTTTCCAACAGAAAACAGATGAGTCTTCTTAGACATCGACATCATTGTTTGTAACAGCATTTTGTCTCGGCATATTTTAATTACGCTTCTGAGATTCGAGTCCTGAAGCTACCCTCAAATATTTCAGAGGAGTTTTGCTCCAGTAACCACCTCCTGAGGGGGCACATACCCTTTAGTATGCTCAAGTGGTACACGGGACAGCTAATGAAGCGGAACTCTCTCCTATGAGGACAGGCTGAGGGAGCTGGGCTTGTTCAGCCTGGAGAAGAGAAGGCGGCGGGGAGACCTAATGGCAGGCTTTCAGGACTTAAAGGGAGCCGATAGGAAAGATAGGGACAATCTTTTTAGCAGAGACAGCAGTGACAGGACGAGGGGTAATGGTTTTAAACTAAAACAGGGTAGGTTTAGGCTGGACAGAAGGAAGAAATTCTTTACAATGAGGGTGGTGAAACACTGGAACGTGTTGCCCAGAGAGGTAGTGGAGGCCCCATCCCTGGAAACATTCAAGCCCAGGTTGGACAGGGCTCTGAGCACCCTGATCTAGTTAGCAGTGTCCCTGCTCGCTGCGGGGGGGTTGGACTAGATGACCTCTGGGGGTCCCTTCCGACCCAAAACTTTCTATGATTCTACGATAACTGTATTTATTTTTCATTGATTACATGCAAACAAGGCGTATCTCCTTTAAAAAGCCAAAGATGGGGTTTGTTAGCATGCCATTACTGTTCCTGAAACAAGAGCTTCTCCTGACACAGCAAAGCAGCCCCTGCAGAGTTAAGCACAATATTCCGTGGAGGAGAGGCCTGGGAATTGCAGTGAAAGTGAAGTTCAGTCACGTGCACCGCATTTCTCAAGTCCAGCCAAGCGGAAGCAGCGTAACCAAAAAACAGAGCACTCGAAAGAAGAGTTCTATCATAAGGTTTAGGGCCGGAACAGGAAGGAAAATGAACTAAAACCCCACAGGAAAATCTAAAGTCCCTGGGCAGCCTCATTTGTTCCGCTGCCTGTTCGGGAGGCTCCCCAGCGAAGCCTCTCGCACCCAGCGCTAGGTTGGTGCTGGCAGAAGAATGCAAACAGGATGAGAACCACGCTGTGCGCTCCGCTAGCAGAGCTCCCCGCTCCCGAGATGTGGCCAGCGCCTACGGGCTGCGAGCACGGCAGCGCTTCGCTACCGCGCCTCTTCCCACGGCCAACCAGGGCCCGGCCCCAGCTGGGACCGGAGAGGACACTCTTAGAAAGGACCTCTTAGAGGTCTTTTCCAACCTGCGATTCTATGATTCTATGATTCTGTGAACAGGCTGCCCAGGGAGGTGGTGGAGTCCCCATCCCTGGAGGTGTTCAAAAAACGTGTGGATGTGGCACTTCAGGACATGGTTTAGTAGGAACGGTGGTGTTGGGTGGATGGTTGGACCTGATGATCTTAGAGGTCTTTTCCAACCTGCGATTCAGATGGCCCAGTCGTGGTGGTAGAAGGCCAGCTGCTCCACGGCCACTCCCAGCAGCCTGCCGGCGATCGCTCCCACCGCCATGCTGGGGATGAAGAGCCCCGACGGGACCTGGGAAAGCAGGCAACGGTCAACACGCCAGCCCTCCGACCTCCCAAAGCCTATGGACGGACGCTCAGCATGGGTCACGCTGGAGATAAAACCGGCACGGACGCCTGGCCGTACCACCCTGCCCTTCCCGCACCCTCACGCTCTGCAGGCTCCACAAACAGCGCTTCCATTTACTCCCTCCTGAGCAGCAGAACCAGCCAGGCGGGAGGCTGGCTGTCCCACGTGCATCTGCTGCTGCAGTACAGTGCCTGCTTTCTAGGGCTCCGGGGTGAAGTTCTGGAGAGGGAATTATTTTGCTGCTTTCTGGTAATAGATTTTGGGTACCCAGGTAGGACCCTGCTCTTGAACATCAACGGTCCGAGGGATCGCAGGACCTCTGGCCGGCACTCTCAGGGAGAACCTCCGACCCCTGGACCGAAAAGTTCTGAGCAGGGACCATTAATAAGGTAAAGGCACTCTGCCAGTGTTGTTTCTTGCTGTCTGCCTGCAAAATAAACTTTGTCTCACTTGCACCGCAAGCGGAGCCCGTGCCGTCACATGCCCCAGCTGGTGTGGAACAACAAGCCTTTCTTCAAAAGTTTACTTCCCAAGAGAATATATCGAAGCTTCACCCACACGCTGCCAACCCTCCCTCATGCCCTTCCAGCCACACCAGTATGCGTTTACTGTGGGCATGGGATCTTCCCACCCTGCTGGCTTCACGTCTGGGAGTGGAACCATCCTTCTTCCCTGGCAGAAATTCCGACTCCGCTGTGACAGTGAGGGCACCCGGAATCGGCGCCCACAGCAGCAGTGACACCCACTGCTGGCAAGTTCCACCTCCGCGCTTCGGCTGTGCCAGGACTCCTGAAGCCCCTGCCCTCTGAAGTCAGAGAATCTCTCCCCCTTCCCTTTAACATCGGTCACGCAGCTTTCTCACACGCTGTACATCCTTCTCGCAGCCTTGATGATCGCCCCTGGACATCACTGACCACCCCACGGCAGCAGCGGCGTCCAAGTCCCGTGCCGGGGTCACCTTCCTGGACGGCGCGCTCGAGGCCGGGGGGCAGGCGTG